GCGCCCTCCCCGGCCGGGGCCCGCGTCCGGCCGGCCTCCACGCGGCGGTGGATGGCGTTGTGGGCGTTCAAGCTGTCCAGGTTTGTAAACAGGTTCCCGCACTTGGTGCAGACTTCGTAGAGGGACAGGCCGGCCACGATCACCTCCTCCTGCACCACGTCGTTGATGGTGGCGATGGGGTCCAGCTCGCTCTTGGGCTTGTTCTTGCTCCCCGTCTTCGGGCCGTGCGCCTTCATGTGGTTCTTCAGGAACCACGGCTCCTTGAATCTTCGACCGCAGATGTGGCAGCCGTGATCGAAGGAGCCCCTGTGCTTCTTCATGTGCGCCTTCAGGAACCAGGTCTGGCTGAAGGCCTGGCCGCACACCTCGCAGGGGAACTCCCCGGGGGGCAGCTCGGGCTTGCCGCTCTCCACGTAGGCCTCGCCGCCAGGCCCCTGCGCGGTGATGTGGTCCCTCTCGATGTGGCTGAGCAGGGACTCCTCCCTCAGGGTCATGTAGCTGCACAGCCTGCACTTGAAGGGCTTGTGCGCCTGGTGCACGTGCTGCTCCAGATCCTTCTTCCGCTCGAACTTGCTCTTGCAGAAGGAGCACTGAGCGGCTCCGGCCTTGCCCTCCTCGGGGGCACCCGCGGCGCCCTCCGTCTCCTTCTTGCTGCTCCTCAGCAAGATCTTGCTGTTGTCCATCTGGGTGGCCCCGTTCAGGATCTTGTTGCAGGCCGACGTGCTTTTCGTGGGACTGGCGCAGCCGTCCAGGCCCTCCGACACGCGCATCTCGCCCGCCTCGGGCTCGTGGCCCTGGATCAAAGTCCCCGTGCGGTGGCTGCGGATGTGGATCTTCAGGTTGCCCTTCTGGGACGCCCTGTGGTCGCAGTAGGGACACTTGTAGGGCTTCTCCCCCGTGTGCTTGCGCATGTGCTGCGACAGCGAGCTCTGGAAGGGGAAGCTTTTGCCGCAGATGCAGCAGCTGTGGCTCGTGGCCCTGTCCCCATCCACCTCGGGGCTCCTGCTGGCCCTGGCGGGGCTGGGGCCCCTTCTCAGCTCCATCTCAGCCTCTCGGTTGCGATCCATCTCCAGGACGAGGGCTCGCCCCGAGGAGGCGGGCTCAGCTCTCTGTCACAGGGGCCTGCCGGACAAGGTCTTATCTCGCCATCTTCAGATGTCTTTTGCGTCCCAGCTGCAGAGATGTTCCCGCCACAAAGACGTGCAGATCCTACCTGGAGAGCATGGCAGGCACAGCGAGCACCTGAAACAGAAAAGACACGGAGATCTTAGGAAGGAAGCTTCCCACGTAAACAGGGAGCCAGTAACACCCAGGATGGTGATCGGCATGCTCCTCCAGAAAAATCTCAACCCAGTCCAAATAAAAGAGACACCAACAAAAACGTAAACCGATGTACAAGCAGCTGCTTCCTTTAAAAGATCAATAAGTAAACAGTAAATTATTGATAATAATTGTGTGCTAAATCATTAAAATAAGTCATTGTAAATGACTGCATTCAATTTTTTTAATCAATTAGATACCAATTCTAATTTAAGGAAAGACTGTGGTGAGCGAGTTTGTGGGAGTGTGAGAAACGCTACGGAGCAAGGACAGCGTGTGGGAACGCGGAACAAAGGAGAGTGGAGACCGTGGAGGCAGAGGCTGCGCCCAGGACAAGGGAGCTGCAAAGGCAGGTGACAACTGTGAAAGGCACTGCACAAATGTATCTCTGTGTCTAGACTTAAGGAAACGGGTCTTTGGTTAAGAATGTAGATGATTTAGTAAAAGAGAGGCAATGAAGTGCACAAGCAGAACCCTGCACTCTCCGGTGCCAGGTGTCACACTGTATGGCCACTGTCACTTTCATGCCCCTCCCACCCTCCGGAGAACGAGGGCCCCGGTCTGAGTGGCTCCTCCAGCCACCTGGCATGTCCAGCGGCCTGTGCACAGGCAAGGGCAAACCAGGCAAGCGGTATCCAGCGCTCTGCCTGACACATAGCAGGCACCCATCCACACCCCAGGAAAGCCAACATGATCGCCTGTAACCACAAGGGGGATCCAAGACAGCGCACCCCAAAAAGCAACGATGTCCAGCAAAAACAGGAATTTCCACCTGACTTGTGATAAGTACAATACACAAAGCAAGGAGCCTGTTAGAAAGGACGTTCGAGGTACGGCGTCTTTCAGGACAGTATCCTGACGGGTTAGAAAGGGCGGGAGGGCTACCCACAGCTCCCCTGGGACACGGTCTGTTTATCCTTCTTATCTCTAAACAGAAGTAGTCAAGATAATGATTCTGAAGGTCTCTCTCCTGGGGAGGCTCCAGACTTCCATGGAGAGGCACCCAGATGGGCAGATTTTCTTTAAAAAGAAAACAAAACTATAACATGTAGAAAAGAAGCCGTGTTTTTACAAACTTTTGTTCCAAAATGAAAGCTCTCCCCTAAAAGAACCCAGACAGCGACTCCTTGTTTGCTCTGGGTTGCCCCACCTGCCATGTTTTCACTGGAGCAGACACAGAAAAGACTGACGACAGGATGGAGGGGCGAGGGGTGGCCACCCAGACGTCCCCAGGGAGTGGGGATTCTGAGTGCATTACACTTGTTCCTCCACGTCCCCACGAGGCTGCAGAGGCCATCAACGACGGACACCTTCTGAGAAGACACTGCTCTCTCCAAAAGCCTCCTCCCACAGACCCATTCAACGACAGGCAGAAATCTTATTTCAGTGATGTATTCTAAAACATCTTTCGAGAAAGCCCCAGGCTAGCAAGTTTCCCGGGCACCTAAAGAAACCAACACAGTCTGAGCAGCAAACTGCAGAAGGAGGCAGGAAGCAGAGCGGCCATGAGGTGTTGTCACTAACACTGTGACTACACTAACAGGTGCACAAGTTCCTCCTGATGAGACAGGGAGCCCCAAAACTCCATGACTCCAATAAAATAAACAAAAACTACCCCTAAGATTGGATAAACAAAGGGGGTTAATAAGAACACCTACCTATTCATGACAATTCCAGCTAATTTAAATTATTATATTTTTTTTTTGGTGAGGAAGATTCACCCTGAGCTAATATCTGTGCCCATCTTCCTCTATTTTCTATGTGGGACACCACCACAGCATGGCTTGATGAGTGGTGTATAGGTCCTCATCCAGGATCCGAACCCGCGAACCCCCAGCCACCAAAGCAGAGCGTGCGAACTTACCCACTATGCCACTAGGCCGGCTCCCTCAAGCTAATTTAAATTATTTTTTCAAGTTGTTTTGGTCTTGGCACAAGTTCTGGATGGCTGTGTATTATTTATGATGATTTATAAGGCAAATGATTGGCATGTATCCACTTCTATCCCAGGGCTTATTTCATCCCCCAAATGTTGAATGTGATGTAATATATAAAGTATGAATGATACACACTATTTATATTTAACTTAGTGACCTAATCTGGGTATAAAAATCTTAGGAGTTTAAAGAACCATATAGAAGTAAGTTTATAGAGGAAAAAAACACTGGAAATTGGTGGCTCTGAAATAATTTTACAGACTCCACTGGACCTCTAAGTTGGTTCATAAAGGATGTTAAATGTCAGACAGTTCTCCAATTCAAGGGGATCAAACAGCCAAAACCCAGCCACAAAGACAAGATTCACAGAGTACGAGCATTCAATGAGTTAAGGATCCTAAGAGGTGACCCACAAAGGCACCTGGAAATTACAGTGAATTTTCCAAGTGAGAAGACTTTGAATCATCAAAAATGCATGCTCTGTGGCCAGTCTGTTCCTTCCTTCCCTGCTACACCTTGGCATTTTCGGCAATTCCAGGAGCCACAGAAAGATGCTTCCCAAGCCAAGCTGCCACTCCAGGCGTCTGCACATGGAGACCCCGCCTTTGTGCCACCCAGGTGTGGCAGGTCGTGGGGTTCGGCCAGCACTGCGTGGTGCCAAGTGGACCCTGGGAGCTGGTCCCCCGTTAACCAGCCTATGGCTTTCAAGGGGCGTCTTTCACATCCTGGGCACATCTCCTCATCTGCCAGGTGCTGAGGACAGGACTTGAGAAAGCCGCGTCTCAACAGTGCCTCTTGCAAGCAACTCCTTGGAACGCCACTCAGAGCCCCTGTACCAATGCAGAATGGACAGTCCAGGAACGATAAAACACCTGCCCAGTGGGGGCCTCACTTCTAATACCAGGCGGCATCCTCCCTTACAGACCCGCAGGCCCAGAGCGAGTGCACGGGAGAGGATTCGATGTGAGTGCAGCCCCATCCCCTACACCCCTATGGAGGCGGAAGGAACTGGCTCAGGTGGTCCCCGGCCACCTCCGGCATCCAGGCACATGGTGGGTCCAAAAGGATGCGGCCGCCCTGACCGCCCTGCTCCCCCTCCTTTCCGTGGGGGCCTCAGAGTCTTCTGCACACTTACAAAGGCATTGCACTGCCAACTTTCCTTACTGAGAAATCCCTCTCCCATTTCCTCATCACAGCCCTGATGTTTCAAGTTTTTGATTCCCCAGCAGCCCCAAGCCTGGACACTTTCCCTCAAGAAGCCCAAAGACTAGAGAATACAGTTTTCCTTTCTTACTTGGGCATCCTCCAAAACTAGCTTGAAAGCTTTACTCAAAGCCAGCAGGGCCCTGCAATTTACAGGAAAATTCTCAAGTTAGGGCATTAACGGTGCCCCTGCAATCAGCAGACAAGATCTTCTTTCTCTTTTGCTTCTCCTTCTTCTCTGCCCACTCCATCCCTCAGAACTAAGCCCTGCTATCAGTCCCCGTGAGAGTTGCATGGGACATGTTTTTACAGAACTTATAAATATTCTGGAGGAGAAAATATATCAATGTACAAATGGAAAATACGCTATAATGGTAGTAACTATTTAAGCCCAAGACACCATTATCTTAAGGAAATCATAACATCCACACAACTGGCTCCACTTGGAAAAGGTCCAGTACGTGGCCCCCTTCCTCATGCCCATGGTGGGCTCATGAAGTTTCTTGCAAACCTTTAAAAAAACAGTTAAGAAGTAATTCCCTGCAACCGGCTCTCCTTAGTCCGTGGCCAAATCAACAAATCTTTGTAATAGTTCTTTTCAGCTGCAGGCAAAAATTGCTATTTAAGACAGGGTCATCACTTCGTTTCCAAAAAAGAACAAGAATGCTGTCATCAGAACTTGCAACTTAAAAATGCACCGCGGGCAGCGGCCCCAGTTAGAAGGCTCAGGGGGACGTTATCGGCCCTCCCAGCACTACGGGCTCTGCTATCCTTGGTTAAAAAAGCCCACTACCCTCTGTGAGCCAGGAGGGTCTCAGACAGTTTCTCAACATGTATCCTGGTCCCTAGTGGGAGTGGTCCACATCCGAACACCACCATGGGACAAAGGTTATACTCCTCCGTGCCAGCCAAATGCATTTCAGTCCCGGGCTGCCCCTGTTTCGCTCTCGCAGACAAGCACATGCACGCCAAATGTGAGCTGGTGTTCCAACTTTTCCTAAAACACATTAGCCTCAAGATAAAACATGTAAATAAATGCTAGCATTTTACCCAGACCAGAGTGATTAAAGAAAGTCTTCCAGCAACACAAACATGAGGAGGGGAGGGAGCAGAGGGGAGAGCATTAGCCGACACGACCACACGTCAGCCCGCATACGTACACAGAGGCCCCATCTGAACACCATTTTGCCCATCATGAATCACGGTTTCGTTCTTATTGTGTTACAGACTTTTTCCAAGGTTCTAATTGGGAACTTGCCAGACAAGACTGTAATTTAATTGTTTAGGCATAAAAATGCCTTGCTGATTAGGGTTTTAAAATAGATTTCCAACAGATCTCTCACTGTGTGTGTGTGTGTGTGTATGTGTGTGTGTGTGTATGTGCGTGTGTGTGCGTGTATGTGTGCGTGTGTGTGTGTGTCTAGAGATCTAATGAACAGTGCAGCTACTTTTTAAAAATGCCTTATATAATTTTTGAAATAAATTTCGTTTTGAAAAAGGTAAGTTAACATTTACAAAAAAATAAGAAAAAGTAAAATGTTTATTAAAGAAAATAAAAATGTATATTCATAACAAAAAACGCATTATGAGGGAGATGGGGAGGGGTTTAAGAGAACAAAATATAAAAGTTTTGAAAATAAAACATGTAACTAAACTTTAAAGAATAACCGTGTGAACACATAAATAAATAAAGCGCTAGGTCTCAAGACATTGGAGAGAGGCTGCCGCCACACTCAGAGGTTCTCTCTTCCCTGCAGAGCACAGCTGGAAGGCACTGACTTCCCCAAGACCGCTTCCTCTCACTGGATTTGGGATCAACTCAACCTGCGGGTAAAGGTTCCGGCCAATAAACCACCCCAGTAAGTGAGCACCCTGAGCTGTGTCTTCCACCTCGTCCTGGTGGTCCACTGAGGGGGCTCCTGTGCAGGGCGAGGACGGGGTAACCCACTGCCCCACAGGAACTCCTTTAGAGCAGGCCCTGCAGAGCCAGGTCCAGACCCTACAGCCAGAAGAAGTATTTTATGCAGCCAAAGGGTCTACACAGCACCAACGTGGGCGACCACAGTCTCCATGGGCATCCGGAACCCCCTGCCCCGACGGCTCCTCATGCGGAAGCCCCACGACTGGCGGGGGCAGATTTTACGAGGGTCCTCACGACAATTCCTGAGAGCCTGCTGGGCGCCGAGCGACTGATGGGAACCGAACAACTCGTTGAATAAATTAATGAAATGTCAACATAGTACCTAAAGATAAGTAGTCACTGGCAGTGACAATATTTGGTTTAATAAATTCAAAAAGACAAACTAATAGAAGCTTAGGAAGCTAAATGAGAAATCATTCACTAGTCACTGGACCCTCAGAGGTTCACCCAACAGGTTATTCACTACCATGTAACGTCTTCCACCAACAGCTGGAATCACCCACAGCAGACAGGTGCCAACACGTCTCCGCTCCAGGACTCTCTATCAAAATTAAACTTTAATATGGATGGGATGTTAGGCCACATTCCAGAACTGCTATTCCTTTTGTTAGGTTGGTAATATAGGAGAATCGTCTTATTTTTTGGAGACGTGATGAAATATTTTAGAGGTGGTTCACAAAAAAGAGAGAAAGAAGGTAGACATATCAAAGAGTTAACAGTTGCTGGACCTAGATGGTGGGTGTATCTGTATATTCATTACTCTTCCATTTTTATGGATTTTGAAAGTTTTTCACAAAAGAAATTAAAAAATAACTCCCTCGGGCTGGCCCCGTGGCTTAGCGATTAAGCACAGGAGCTCCGCTGCTGGTGGCCTGGGTTCGGATCCCGGGTGCGCACCAACGCACCGCTTCTCTGGCCATGCTGAGGCCGCGTCCCACATACAGCAACTAGAAGGACGTGCAGCTGTGACATACAACTATCTACTGGGGCTTTGGGGAAAAAATAAATAAATAAAATTATTAAAAAATAATAATAATAACTCCCCCTTGCAACTCCAGTAAGTAACACAACTGAAAGCAGAGAAGCTCTGGGGGAGCGGGGTGGGGGTCGGGGGCCCTCACTCACCCCTTCAGGCCCCAAGGAAGCTCAGAGGGCTCTAAGAAAGGCAGTTTGGGAAATTTACCTTTTGTGAACTCTAGTATTTAAAATTCAAAGAAAGAAAAACCATCTGAACAATATGAAACTGTTCCAATGAAAAGCAGTACTTTATTTCAAGAGATGCTTGCTGATGTTTCGGAGCCTTGCCCGGAGACATTCAAGGAATCCACCGCAGTTCCGGTCACGGCCTCGTGCAGACGGCGGCAAGCCTCCATTGCCAGCCAAAATGCGGGCGCCCGCTTACGTGGGCGTCCACGAGGGTCCTGTCCATGCTTCCCCAGCAAAAAACCAGCAATGCTGTGGAGGTTTTTCTTCCATATTTTAAACAATCATTTTCTGACCAGCAAACTACGGCGTTGTCAAGGGAAGAAGGTAAAATATCCTCTATTTTCAAATAGTAAGCAGCTCTCTGAATCTACAGGAAATTTTGCCGTCTTCTGCTCTGTGAATTAAACCAACACAAAGCAAATGCTAAACGGTTTTATACTAATCTTCCTAAAACTATCTAAGTCCATTCTATAGAAACTTGTCCTGAAAAAGCAATCAGAAGGCTAATTTTCAAATAACCTCTAATGTTTACAGTTATTTGGCAACAAAGCAACACCGTGAGTTTCCCTAAGCTGACCCCAACCAGACCGGTCCACACAAGGGCAGCCTGAAGAAGGGGAAGCACAGGAGGCTGCCAGAACACTGGAAGTGCCATTTCCTGCCCGAAGTTTAGTGTTTCCCAGTTTAGGGAAACAAAATCTGAAGCTTGTGCTGTTTTTCAAATAACTCTCTACTTGCGTGTTTCTTCAGTTCTAGCTCATTCATTAACCACAGCATGATACTCAGAAGTAGTTTTGGTTTCCTCGATGGCGTGGGGTCACTTGCTGGGGGCCCACGGTCTTCCGGAGGGTCCCCGTCCAGCACTCGGAGCTCTGGTAACAGGAGAATTTGTGAAATTTGAAGAATTGGTGAGGCAGGGAAGATGCCCATACAAAGGAAACAGCTCCCAGCAGACAGCATGCCCAGGATATCTACAGGAGTGTCACGGCTCCAAAAGGCAAGTCGGAACACAAGAGGGCGCGTCTCCCGCACGGCCTGGCGCGCGGTTCGCGGTTCTGAAGCCACTCTGAAGCAGTCACTTCTGCCCACTGCCGCAGGGCCTGCCCAGAAACCCACGCCCAGGGGTGCCGGCCCGGCCGGGAGCACACTGCCCGTTTGTTCTCCTGCAGACAATGAAATGGGCTTTACTAGTTACACTGTAGTATTATGAGCCATGAATTAAAATACATCATTAACATCCTGCTCGAGCTTATCTACTGCTGAGACAAAAAGCCTATTC